TGGAGTTCGGTACTAACACTTGAGTCTGTTTCCTGGCAGCGGCAGAGCTGTCTTTGATCGTTAGATTACAGGTATATTTCCGAGAAACCGTCTATGGGAGAGTAACTGCAGCCTGTGTTGACACAGCTGCCCGACTGAAGATAATTCTTAGCATTTGTCGCCTCGTTGGTCAAAGTACCTTGCATCTGTTAACTTGGTTACGACAGCCCTGTCAGGTAGGCCAGTGTTACTTATTTACAGTACTGATGCTTGTGCCGTCTGTCGACCTCTTCTCAAGGCAGCTTGAGACCCTCTTGCAAAACAGTCTAATGCAGGGCTGCCAACCTCCAGGCAGATACTGGCAATCTGGGATTTCAGCAGATCTCCAGGGGACAGAGGTCAGTCCCCCCAGAGAAAATGGCAGCTTTGGAAGGCAGAGTCTATGGCATTGGACCCCACCCTCCCCAGATTCCTCCTCCCAAAAAAAATGCCCAGGTATTTTCCAACCTGGAGTTGGCAACCCTAGTAACGTCCCCGTGTAGATGGGAGTTGTTGGAGCAGTGCTCTCCCACATACTGAGCTTAAGATGGAGTGTGGCCTGCTGCTTATTGGGGAGACTGTTTCTCCTTTAAAACATACTCTGTGTACATGAACTTAGTAGATTTCTGCTGCCACCAGGAATTAAAAATTCCAAATCTCTCTATTTTGGTAGAATGACCCAGTGTCTGGGCACTTCAGAGGACTATCTGGCCCCGAGGAAGGACTGTTTGAATGCTGGGATAAGTTTAAACAAAGATTTATTTATAAAAGAACAAAATAGGTTTCTGTGTAATTTTGAACTGTTGTTGAAAGAAGATATAACTGACAAGGCTTGGCGTCACACACAGTCTCCCATACACCAAAACTCAACTCTGACAGGCTTATCTCTCTCTCATATATGGAGTGTACACAGGCTAGACTCTCTCTCGCTCACATAGCCACACAGGCTAAATTCTCTCATATAGCCACACAGGCTAAACTCCAACTGCTTCCTCTGTCATTACAGACTCTCTGAAAAACTCTCCACACGCGTCTCTTCCAGAACACAGAATCACCTCAGAGACATCTCTCCTCCCACACTCTCAGTCATCAGCCAGTCACATCACACTTATCTCCCTCTATCACTCTCCTTCCATTTCTGCAGTCACACTAAACATTTAAAGAGACACACATACCAAAACATGAAATCATCACATGGAGACGTATTTTGAGAAAGACAACCCATGTAGGTCAAACAAGGAAAGCACCAGCTCTTTTGGGTGACACTTGGACCAGCAACTCTACTGTCTCCAGCAGGGAACCAGAGGCGCAGTTACTCAGAATGCCTCAAATTCCACTCTACCATCACGGGTAGGTAAATTCAGCAAGGATGAAACCTGCATCGGGATTTCAATTGAGTGACAACCGAGATGGCCGCACTAGGTCCTCCGGGCGAGCAAGCCGCTTCATAGACCAGAGTCCTGGGAGCTGGTGTGTCCCCTGCCCCACTTGTCTAGCTCTCAAGTCTGAGCAATTTTAGTCCCACTAATTCAGGCAATTTCCCATGAGAAGCTAAGCATGCAAAGTCCTGACCCAAGGAGAAACCATGGACGACTCTCAAAAACCTGTGCAGTTGATGACGGCAGGGGAGAGCCTGTTAGGTCGTGGTGGGCCAGACTGAAATCCAGAAGATGGTAGAGTCAGAACAGACCCTTGGGGGGTGGGGAAATCACTGTCCCGGGCCCTGTATTGCAGCAGGGTGTGCTTCCCCGAAGAAACCGCCAGCCGCCTGAATGGTGGGCTCTGTGTACAGCCTTCTGCCCAGGTGTTGTGAGCTTCCAGCCTCAAGTCAGTGCCAAGGTTGCCAGCTCTGAGTTGGGAAACATCTGGAGATTTTGGGGGGTGGAACATGGGGAGGGTGGGATTTGGGGAGGGGAGGGCCCGCAGCAGGGTCTAATGCCATAGAGTCCACTCTCCAGGGCAGCCATATTTCTCCCGGGAAGTCAAATATATTGCCGGCTCAATGGTGCTTTTGATATTTAACAACACCCCGAGTTTGGAAGCCTTAGAGATGTCAGATAGTTGCTCAGTATCCTCAACTCTTCGTTTAATTAGCCCTTTGGCTTGTTCAGATCCATAGGATAAGAGTAGCTGAGGTGAGAAGCCAATTCTATGAAGATCATCTGGGTTATGGGCCCTGTACAGACCCCAGTGGCTTGGAAACAGAAGTCTTGCAAATTTGGGGTGGGAGCTGATTGTCTTGGGTCCTGCGCCTGAAAAGTAGAATTTTTAATGGGCCAGTCTAATGGATCCTACCACAAAGGTCAACACATATTCTCTTAATTAAAAAAAGAAAAGGATGCAAAATAGCTGGTCGCTGCAGTGGCTCAAGTGGTTAAGATGCTGAACTGCAGGCTGTGGAAGGTCGGTAGTTCAGCAGTTCGAGACCCGAGTTGCCGCATGTTGGAGTGAGCTCCCGTCTCCAGTTCCAGCTCCTGCCAAAGCAAGAAATTGCAAGTAGATAAATAGGTACCACTTTGGTGGGAAGGGAACAGCGTTCTGTGCGCCTTGGTGTTTAGTCACGCCGGCCACATGACCACGGAAACATCTTCGGACAGCGCTGGCTCTTCGGCTTTGAAACAGAGATGAGCACTGCAACCCTAGAGTCAGACTCGACTGGCTTTCGAGCAAGGGAACCTTTACCTTTTCCTCAACAAGGTCTTGGAGGCTGAACCCAGGGCCACCCAACTAGACGAGCATTCAAGGGACCTGTCAGTTTTGCTCTTCTCATCGTATTGTTGTTATATTCTTGTATTGTCACATGTTGAAAACCTTGAATAAACCTTTGTTGATTTAAAAAAAAAAGTTTTGGCAACCCTCAGCTTTGTTTCTCTACCCCACTTTTGTTTCCTCTGCCTTTTTGAAAGCAAGCCGTACGTCTGGAGTCTGCCTGAGACCACGTGAAGGCAGCTGCCGGAGGCGTAAACCACATCCCTGCTACTGCGTCTTCCAGACCTGCTGTCCTCCATCACCGGAGGCTGCTATCCCCCATTCGCCTCTCCTTCTGAGACCTTCCGTGGGGCAGCTTTGAAGACCGCTGCCTCCCCCCACCCCCTCCCCAAAGAAAGGTAAGACTCGCTTCATATTTTGTGCTCGGACTCTCGGGTTATATGGGGTGACCTTTGGGTGAGGTTGTCTGGAAAGGGCGAACCGATTGGTGGGTTGCTGTGGAAGGTGAACGGAACTCTCCGTGCGCCAAGCAGTCCCCTGGGGCACGCTGCCATTTTGGTCACTGATTGGGTGCCTACATTTCTACCGGTGAGGCTGGCATCAGACCTGGGCAGAGCCGGGCCTTCCTTTACCGAGGCTCAGAGCCTGTTCAGAGGCCCACAGTCTTTGGTCGCCGCCATTTCCCCCGCTGGTGGGTACACGTGGGCTGTGATCCGCCATGCGCCAAGCGCCAGAGGGAATCCTTTGATGTGATCTCCCAGAGTAAAGGGTTTTTTTCCCTGCTTCTTATTTTTCAAACATACCATAAATCAATAACATCAGAACGCGGAAGCAAACCACTAAAAAGCTATAAACAGTATGCCAGAGTATAAGTTTGACATTTATTAAAAAGGTAAAGGTTCCCTTGCTCGAAAGCCAGTCGAATCCGACTCTAGGGTTGCGGTGCTCATCTCCGTTTCAAAGCCGAAGAGCCAGCGCTGTCCGAAGACGTTTCCGTGGTCATGTGGCCGGCATGAGTAAACACCAAGGCGCACGGAACGCTGTTACCTTCCCACTGAAGTGGTACCTATTTATCTACTTGCAATTTCTTGCTTTCGAACTGCTAGGTTGGCAGTTGAAATTTATCACATGAACGCAAATTCATAAAACGAATGCAATACCCATTAAGAAGGGATGATACCATACAACAGTGCCTATACCATGCATACGTTTTATATATTATAATAGGATTAAAGATTTTAAGTTTCTTGGAACTACTTCAAGCTGCGACAAATAATAGACCAAGATGCTACCAAGAAGTTGAGGGGCGTATAGAACAAGAGGTGCTCCACGGGAGTAAGTAACAGGTTCTTTGCTCTGGATCAAGGAGCCACGGTTCAGCGGGAGAGCAACTGATTCTCATGCAGAAGGTCCCAGGTTCAGTTCCCGTCATCTACAGTTTAGGCATCTGGCCGTAGGTGATGTGAAAGACGTCTGCCTGAGACCCTGGAGAGCAGCTGCCAGTCTGAGTAGACAATACTTGCCAAGGGTCTGATTCGGTATAAGATAGCTTCAAACGTCTTCCCTTAATATTAAGTAGCTTGAGAGTGCCTGTGGTTATGCAGCCACGGGGGGGGGGGGGCAGG